TGCCGGTACTGTCTTGTCATTAGAGCTCCTCGACACAGATATAAGTTACCATAGTAACTTAAGCAGATTTTATTTAATTAGGACTAAATCCTTTTATATAATTTCATTAGTATGCTAAGTGATGTACTCTGTTGGGATGAGCAAAGACAACACCAAAATATTCTTGTGTTTAACATCTTGTGTTTTGCAGCTCAGTGACAACTAGTTAGTTCAGGTGAAACTTCAAGTTGATGGATGCCAAGGAACACGTGATGGTACCAAACAGAAGCATGTGTTAAAACGGAAATATGCACTATTAATATGTTCACAGAGCAACCTGGGGTAACTCAGCAGACAGGGCAGTAATGAGCAGATGCTATCTTAGGTGAGCTCCAACCCACAGTCTCTGTCTGGGGACCACCATTCCCCTAGTTGCTGTTGCTCTTCCCCTACCTCACCCTGGCAGGAAATTCCTCCAACCCTACTATTTTTTTTTATTTTTTTTTTAAAGTATGTTTGCGTACATTTTTTAAGCTCTTTTTTGGCTGTCCTTGATACAATTTGCTATCTATTACAGTTGTCATAGGAATGTAGATGAACCTGCACGCTGTTCAGAAGAAAAGGACTTTTCAGTATTATTTTAAAAACCCCAAACAAATCAACCTTCCTGAATATCCCCTGGTAAAATTACACTTTCCAAGAGTTCATATACTGGTTAAGGACTGCAAGATTCCAGAGATCTGTTCACCACATAGACAAGAGAAACTATGGTAATACATTGAAGAGTGTATGGTAATACACTTTTCATTGCAACCACAGTGAATACCCAAATTCATGGAATCACAGAATGGTTTGGGAGGAAGTGACCTCAAAGATCACCTAGTTCCTAGTACATGGTTGCTCAAAGCCCCATCCAACCCAGCTTTGAACACTTTCAGGGATGGGGCAGCCACAGCTTCTCTAGGCAAATTGTCCCTCATTCTTTGGTATTGAAGAACTCTTTCCAGACAACACCTCAACTCAGATATTCAATATCTGCCAGAAGCCTTTTATTGTCACTGCTGACTGCTCCATGTAATGCTCCAAGAATATTTGAGAGAAACTGTCATTAAATTTTACTGCAGTCTTTTTCATTTTAACATTCATCATGGTTTTTTTTAATCCAGCAAAATTTCCAGGGATAGGATTTACTTGATCCTATAGACTGGGAAACAGGTATTTCCAATAAACTATCTTTCCTCCAACATGCCTAGATTTTTCAAAGCATGGCAACTATTTTATGAATTATTAGTTTACTACAATCAGTCTAGTCATCTGGGTTCTCTCCTCCTACAAAAAGAGCAGAAAAGGGAGCCAGTGTCTCCCACCAGACTGATACACTGAGACTTGCTGCCCACCAACCCTGCCCCTACAAAACTCTGCAGTATGTGAATTCCCCCAAATCAGGTATTCTTCCAACCACAGCACTTCAATCATACTTCAGATCCCTCCCTGCATCTTCCAACCCAGCACATTCTGTAAGTTTATTCCCTACTTTTTGTAAGAAGTTATTTAGTGGAAAAGCAAACAAACAAACAAAAAACCAAACAACATCCAGCTGCAACTTTACAGTGGAGAAACTCTTAACTGTCCCCAGCCTGACATCTTCAGCACTACCTGTACTCCCACCCACCAACTCATTTCAATTTATCTCTTCCCGATTAAGGAGATAATTTCCAGAGTGCCAATTACTGAAATGTTTTACTGAAGAACAGATCCAGCAGATCTGCCCCAATTCCTAGGTCTGGAAAATGAGCTCTTTATAATTTATTTTCCCATATGAGACTAACCCATTTTCCATTTATCTTTTTGCTTACAAATAATTCTTTCAATGTCTGTGGTAAAACATTGCACACCATGTAATTAAAACTAAGGCTTGTATATGCCCATGTAATTTGTCTATTTTTAAATAGAGGCATGAGTTATTTAGAATTACCTTTGATTTCACAGACATTTTAAAACCATTCCTATTACTGCATAGAATGAGTGCATTAAACACTCTCTGATCTCTGGGCAGCCCACTGTCAGGATTTTTTCTCCTTCCATTATATTTGAGTACTTATCATCTACCTATATCAAGAAAGAAAACACCACACCCCACGACTTGTCCTATACAGGTGAATCTCTCCAGCCTGCCTAAAGCAAATCCTGTAATTTTCTTCCCTGTTTTATCGGCACTTTCTGTTCCTTAGCACAACAAGGCTGTGACTGCCTGTTGCCAGTGGCGCTGCTGTAGTCACCGCTCCAGCAGTGTCTGTGGACACCTACACCTGATAGAGATGGAACCATGGCATGGGCAGGGCTTCTGGGTGACCCAGACACAGGACAACATGCAGCCCAACACCCAGATGTGGGCACAGCTTCTTCTGCAATTAAACCCTATAAAGGGCAGTCTTACAAACAATGCTTCTGTGCTACTGATTATTGCTTCATGCTTGGGGGTATAATTTTGTTGCAAATCCCTTTGAAGGCACAATATGCAAAACTAATTCCAAAAGAAATACAAGGCTCTTCAAAGTTTCGATTAAAATAAAACTAGAATTTCAGGTTGTGAAGACATAAACACCAAAAGCAAATGCTTTACACGTTAGTAATTCTATTTACTCCATTTTAACAAACATTTCTTTACATACGGGGATTCTATTGTTCCAAATATGTGTTTATGGATGATGGATTTAGATTAAACATCTACCATGCATATGTACAGATCAAAGCTATGGTAAAAAAAAATCCCCAAAGATTACTGCAGTCAGAAAGAAGGTTAACACGTAAAGCACAGTTAGGTTAAATGAGTTAAACTTTTTTGTTGCTATGCAGTGATGTGTAAGTAATAATTAGGAAAAAAAGTCCTGAAAACTCTAATACCAAATATCTCAATAATGAAATCATCTGCAGGGGGGTTGGAACTAATCTTTAAGGGAACTAATCTTTAAGTTCCCTTCCAAACCAATCTAGGATTCTGTGAGTATTTTCCCTAAATGTGAGAATCCTGACATACCAAAAAATTAATGCAGTAAAAAGAAAGAGAAAAATGTATCCTTTACATGTAAGTGCACAAACATATTTTAACTACAATTTGTGAGCAAACTGTACTCCTAAAATTAATAAATACAGTCCAACAGCTAAGGAATATTGACAAGCACAGAGAGAGAGTTTCAATATATTTGACAGGTGATTAGGCATTTATATATACAAAATTCCACTCACCCTAATTTCAATGTTATGGTGTACTTCTGATAATAATCTTGTATCATGCAACCTTTCTAGCCTCTTCCAGTCATCCAAATCAACAATTCTGCTAAAGCTGTTTGTTTAAACATGTTTAAATTCTCTCTTACACCTATAATTTTGCATCTGAAAGTTGACTCACATAGAGTCAGGCTGAAAAACTGCTATTAATAACCATTTGTGTATATTGGGAAAAGCTTAGAATCATAGAATGGTTTGGGTTGGAAGGGAACTTCAATGATCATGTAGTCCAACCTCTGAGAAGAGCAAGAGGACTTGGATTTTCATATCATAATTCTTAAAATGAAGATGAGGAAGGGGGGCA